GGACCCACTCCAGGACCCAGGGATAAGACCCCCAGATAGGCAGGAGGGGGGGGGGCCCCGGGAGGGGGGGAGGCAGGAGAGGGGCACCCGGAGAGGAAAAAAAATCCGTTACTGACCTGCACCCACCCAAAAAAAAGGGAGAAAGAAGAGATGTAAAAGGATTTTATCGTGTTTCTAAATCGCTCTTAGGTATGCCTAAGGCAATACATCCTATCTTTAGCAACTGACCTCATCATTCCCTGAAGATTCATCTGAAGATGTTCTTGTGTTGCACAACAGATAATAGCACCATGCTTTTGAAATGCCTGTTCTTCTTGCCCATAATTTAAGCGGCCTTAGGAGGAGCACAAATGTCTTGTGACGTTCTGTTTACTGAAAACCTCCTTAAAGGTGAGTGACCCAGCTACTCTATTTTCAGGGCACAAACAGCTTGAGCAGAGGACTGGGTGAACCTCGTCAGGTTCAACTAAGTCAAGTGCAAGGTTTTGCACCACAATCATGCTGACTCTTGCTATCATTAAATGCCGGGGAACAAAAGGATTGTGGACAGCCCAGTGGAAAAGGATTTGGGGGTACTGCTGCACAGCAAGCTGAACGTGAGCCCGCAATGTGCCCTCACAGCCCAGAAGGCCGACTGTATCCTGGGCTGCATCCAAAGAAGCGTGACCAGCAGAGTAAGGGAGGTGGTCCTGCCCCTCTGCTCTGTGCTGGTGAGACCTCACGGGGAGTTCTGCATCCAGATGTGGAATCCTCAGTACAGGAGAGAAACGAACCTGTTGAAGCACATCCAGAGGCCACAGAAAGGATCCAAGGGACGGAACGCCTCTGCTACAAGGACAGGCTGAGAGAGCTGGGGCTGTTAAGCCTGGAGAAGAGAAAGCTCCAAGGTGACCTGATAGCAGCCCTTCAGTCTCTAAAGTGGGGCAATGAGAAATAAGGGGACTGCTCTTCAGTATCAAATGTGGATGGAAAGGGGTTAGTACGGTCTTCTCTTGTGACCTTCCTTTTACTTGAGCTCAGGTAAGGGTCATTTGAGTGAACTGCTGGTACTACAGCTCTGAGAATGATTTCCCTGCTTTGAAGTGGAAATGAGGCTGGGGATGCCCTTCACAGAGAGCATCTCTGTGGTAAGCAGGCAATGAGTGCTGCTGGAATGTGTCCAAACAGAGCTTTAAGAGCTAGGTTACTGGTTAAAGCAGCAACATGTTCTGAAAGTTTTCTGAGCAGAAGTTGAGCTAATCTATGTGACAGTTAAAGACTTGAACAGTCCTGAGTGTTGTGTATTCGTGCAGAGTGGAAACAGACCTTGCTGGGTTACCTGCTGGTACCAACAGGGTTCATTTTAAGGTCAGAACAATCCATGTTTCAGTGCAGCATCTCTCCTGCAACACATATTAAGCGTGGAATAGAATATGAATGGAAATGAGATGACTTTTGTACAGCTCACCTGCGCTAAGTGGTGCCCCCATGGAAATTAATTTGAATCTTAAAAGCACGTATAAACACGGTCTGAAGTTCCTCTCAGTGCCTAGTCCAAGCCCAGCTGTGCCGGCCTGGCTCTGGTAGTTCTGAGTGGTTGCAGACTTATTCATCTAGCTGGCTGTCACTTTGTATCTTGAAAGTGGTTAACAGCAAATTCTGTGGACCATAAGAGTTACGTTTTAGTATCTTTACAAACAGGTGCCAGCCAGCCTGCGGTGTTCCAGCCTGACAAAAGGCTTCTGAATTTCATGCTACTCCAGTGCATTCTGCTATTTTTTCATTAAATCAAGACTGTGGAGTGCCATGATTTTGCTGGCCCCTTGTTTTACTTTGGTGTGTAATTGCCCTGAGCAGTGAAGGTCAGCATATTTGTTCTAACAAGCCTTATTCTTCTTAAATCCTTTTTTTTTTTTCCCTTTAATGTGGATTTCACGTGGTAGTGGCATTGACAGCTGACGAATCTGTGATCTTTATACCCTCTTGGGAGAACTGATATTGTCGGTGAAAACCTGTTCAATGTTGCAGTCTGTGGGCAAAACAACAGGAGGGTGATGCTAATTATTGGAAAATAAGGTAAGAATTGCCATATGCTAAGCTTTACGAATGCACAGCGCCCTTTACCTGAAGTTGGATAACATTGCTTAACAAAATCCATTTGCAGTTTTGTAAATGTCAAATCTAGAGGTGTTTCTGTGCGTTCTTCTCTCTCTTAGGGGGGATAACTGTGCTGTGCCATTTAGGAAACGCCTACAACTTTCCAACTCTGATCTGTTTACACATATTTTGTACACTGCTTTTGCACCACAGATCCCAGTTTTTGTTTTTGCAGTAATTATTGCTTCGGAAACCGTGCTCTGTGCTATGGAGGCACGCTCTGCTTCAAGGAAGAAAAACAGTTTGCGTAGGGCCAGGAGCCTTATGTACAGCTTGTCCTTTTAAGTGGCACTTACAAAACATACGGCTTTTTTCTGTAAGCAGGTAAGCCATAGAATAAATTGTCAAGGGAGTTTCTGTAATTTTTGGCCTTAATGCTAGATCAGATCAAGGTAAGGGGGAGCCAAAAGGCTTTGGGCCGAAGGAATCTCTGGGAGCTTCTGTCAGTTTGCTTAGCTGCCACTGACCCTCTCTACTTCTTTAGACCAATGCTGTGGATCACAGAAGGGAGCTGGTTGAATGTAAGGAGTGTAGGATTTTGAAAATTTCAAAGCCGTGGCAAGGCTGCAGTATTCTGAACTCCAAAAACACAACCAGAATATTTTAACTTGACACTAGAGTGCGAGAATGGCTCTATTAATGTCTGGTTCCTTTCATTTCTTCCATTTGCTGCCAATACAAATAAATTCAGTTTGGGTTACAGTATTATTTCTAGTTGCGTATTATCACATCCTAGCCTTATGAGGATTCCAGTCTTGCAGAACATTGCCCTGTGCGCTGTGATTCAGGCTATAAAATTTCCTGTTAATCATGCACAAGTATGAGGAGGAGTGTGTAAAGGGAATATTCAGGGCTTTTCTATGTGAAAATTGAGCCACAGCCCTGATGTTCTGAACTGTAGGGAGGACGAGCAGCTTGAAGAATGAGTGTCTGATAGTTCGCTGAAGAAATGCTTGGCTTCTCTGCTTAATTTTCTTAATCTGCTTAATTTTATCTGCTTGCTTTGTAGAGTAGAGCAACGTGAGAAACTTCGAGTAGATGCATTGGGTATTGGCTGCCAGAGAGTTTAGCAAATGCCTTT